GACAAACATTTTGTTACCCTGGTTACGTATATCAGGTAATGATCTATTTAATGAGATTTTATCACTTAATGCTGCATTAAAACCATTAACATCGTACAACAACTTTTTTTTTAAAGTCTCATTAATTTTTTGTTGCATTTGCTGGTTTGCCTTGCTCTCCAGGCCCTATTCTATTTAAATCTCTTTGTATCGCTTCATAATCATGCCAATCTATTTTGATTCTATCGTTTCTTAATCTAAATGGCTATTGAAATTAAAATTATGAAATAATTGTAAATTTAAATTTCATTAGTGATAAATATTAAATACCTTTATATCATCCAATTTATCGTGAATAATACTATTATTAAATTCGTCTTGCAAAGGTATCTCATAATTCGAAGAAGAATCAAAGTAGCAGAAATAAAGCAGTAAGTACTAAGCCTAACTTTTAAAACGTGGCAATGTTTCGTCGCATGTATAAATTAAAAAAATAAAACAAAACTAGACAATTACGTTATATCATATAACATGACACTGAGTATTTTTAAAATATAAGTATATAAGTAATCTCAAATTATAATTGATGATTAAATAAGGTTATAAAGACAACAACACAGTCTGACTTGACAACGTATAAAACTAAAAAAAGATTATTTAAATACAACAGTTACGATAATGTTATCAGCATATCTTATTTGGGTTACATTTATTGTTTGCTTTTGTCCAGATCATCATAAAATACGAAACTGTTGATTTTGAGTTTTTGGCATTGACAGATAAAATGACATTTGTATGTTTATGTTTATTTAACGAAGAAAATGCAGAAATCCAGCCAATCCAAATAGATGAATGTGTTAAAAGCGCCTCTAGAGCGCGAAATTCAAATTTCAAAACTTATAATTACAGTAATCAATTTTACCAACAGATTCTAAATATTCTAATTCAACAAAAAATTTATAAATGAAACGAGTTTATATTTTTTTTTTTAACACAGCTTCAAATATACATTACAAATCATAACATCAGGATACTCAAACATACAAACATGCATTATGATAATCATTGTATTAATGATAAGCATTGCATTAATTTGTTATTATTTACATTCACTATAAAAAAATATTTTTCTTATTTTTTTTTTTATAAAATACATCAAAAACCAGTCCATTACTTATATTATTTTTTATTAAAAAACAATATATAATAACATTATTCCTATTTAGGTAAATACATTTATTCATGTTTTGACTTAGTAGGCTCTTCTTTGTAATGTAAAAAACAAATACAAATGAAAATATGAACACTCCAGCCATCATAGAGAAAGCGCTAGCATAATATGGGAAAGCACTGGGTATAAATCTTTCATATTGTGTGTGCTCTAGTGGCCTTACAGAAACCTAAAAAAATATTTAAAATACATGTAAAATAGTAAATAGATTTTATGAGAAGACTTAGTATCTCGACATAAAAACAATGTAACAATGGATTTATGATATTTGCTACGATATTTAAGTACATATTGCACATATACTTATTAGCAATATATTAAATAATATTTATATATATATTTTGTATTTATGTATGATCATGCATTATGAATGTTATATATATCTATATATCTATATATATATATATATATATATATATATATATATATGAAGGTATATGAATTAAGATATAAAAAAGTGAACCTGTGTTGTGCTATAAAGATGTGTGTATCCAGTTCGGTCATAGTCCACCTTGAATTGATAAACTCCATACACATCTGGTATTTTGAACCTAGCTTCATAATTTCCATTTGCTAATTTTTTGAGAGTAGTTCTTACAAATGGATCAATGCGAACAAATTCTAATTGAACATCATCAGCTTTGAATGGTTCCCACTTTCCATTGACCTAATAAATAATTCGATAGGTATATTATATTTATATGCATATGCACTAATAATAAAATTCTATTATTAAATTTAATCATTTTAATTGCATACATAAAAATGTTGTATGTATACTACAAAGTGAGATAGTAAGAATATAATTATAATACTTTTTATACTCACCAATTCTTGAATTTGGATTGTATAAACCACTGGATCCATAATAGTATATGATGGAGGAGGAACTTTCTCATTTTCATTATGATGATTAACTGATTTTACACGTAATTGACCTCTTTCTCTGAAAACCCATTGTGAAAGTGATATAGCTACATCCTTATTACCAGATTTCTTTGCTGTGCCACCCTGTTATAAAACATAAACAGAATAATAATTGGAGATAAACAAAATAAAACATCATCAATGTTTAGTACAAACCTGATTTTTTTGAACCATAGAATTAAACGCTTCATCTGAAAAGAATTGAATAGATCCACTAAAAACCACACGTGCATTATTTCTAGCTTGCAGCCCAGCAATTAATAACGTATTTCGGCCAACAGCATGAGGATACTATAACAAAATATGAAAGTTGGTTGTAATTTCATAATTTATAGCATAACTTCAATAATACCATTTTAATTGATTGGTCTGGCTGATAGCTATATGCTGTACTATCTGCTGATAAAAGTTTTAGAACTAATGGATTCTCAGGATCAGCTAATATTCCTGTGCCAGAATACAACATGGGTGAAATTTTATTTTTATCGCCAACAATAATTGAAGAATCAATTAAATTTTGTGGGTCAGCAACAATAGTTGTATGGGATCCTTTATCAGACACATCATAATTAAGATGATCAATAACAGCTGCTCCTTCCTCATCCACCTATCATAAATAGTAATAGGATATCATTTTTGTTATTAGGTGATCAATTTTAGTATATATATATATATATATATATATATATATATAGAGAGAGAGTAAAATTATTATATAGTAAACCATACCTCAAAACCGCATTCAGAAGCTAATTCACGAATTGCATCACCAGTGGATTCACTTCCTGCTACCAAAACATTGCCGCCTTCATCTATGAACTAAAAGATTGTACAATTTATTTACAACAATTATCATAATAGATTTTCAAAATCACATCAATTTGAGGATAAATCATTGAGAATTTTTTTCATATGAAAGGTTAAAGTAAGATATGGATAATTTCTTAAATTTTGCTCAGATATATTACTCTAAAAGTAAAATATACTAGCCATACATATTATCAAAAAAACTTATGATTAAAAGTAGCTAAATGAGAAATAATAAATAGATAATAATCTCATGATAAAGATTTAAACCATTTAGGTACCACTCACTTCTGTAATTGCCTCGACACTTAATGATCCTCCAAACTCTTCCACAGCAGGTGAAAATAGAATTAAATGCTTGTATAAATATTCTCCATACTTAGATAAAACTAAATTGGCTTCATCAGCCAATTTGAATGTTAGAACATAACCTCTATCTGTAATAGTACATAAAGCTAACAAATTTCCCATTCTCTAATTTAATGATCTGATTAATAATTTACCTTGTAAGCTTTTAAAAAATATGGAATGAGTTTCTTTAATTGCAAGATTGTCTAATAAAACTAATGTATCCCCACCGGCATTTACTACCGCACAAAGAGAGCATATTAATAAATATAAGAAATTCATTGTTATATTATAGTACAAATGTTTTAATATTAAATTATAATAATAGCATGTAAGAAATTGTATTTATTTTGTATTATATCATAACGATAAAAGTGTAATCATTTGTGACACATAAAGCTATATATTTTTGTGATGTTTGACGTGTTACAAATGATAGGCAACATGATAATTTCAAAAGTTTGAGTTAAAGCAAGTTAACAACATAAGAATATAAAATGTATTGTTCCTTCAGCTGTCAATATGACAGCACGAAACAAACATGGATTTTAACCCTAAACTAGAGATGATTTTAAGTTGATGCTACTGCCAATTATTTTTAATTCAAACGCTTAAAAAATGCTTGCTGATGAAGATGAAACATTAAAAGTCAGTGCTCGTGATAGAGTCACTGTTTCAAACATAACTTATAAGGTAATAAAATTTGAATTTAATATATATATATATATATATATATATATATATATATATATATATATAATATAGCATCCTCAGAACGTATTTTTGCATTTAAGTTTATTTAAAACCATATATTTCGATTATAGTTCTAGATGGTTCTAGCTCAGTAAAAAATTCTAATAATTTAAAAACTAATTCCTGTATATATATGGTCATTTTATACATCCTCAGAACGTATTTTTGCATTAAAGTTTATTTAAAACCATATATTTCGATTACAGTTCTAGATGGTTCTAGCTCAGCAAAAAATTCTTATAATTTAAAAACTAATTCATGTATATATATATATGGTTATTTTATACATATACATTATATATTAGTAAAATGATAATTTAAGTATATTTAAATAAATATGTATAGACAGGTTTTCGTGAAGGTGCTGCCATAGGAAAGGACTCAATATTTCAAGAAAGCTTTGATAATGGTTTTGCAGCAGGTTTCAAAGCTGGCTTTCAACTCGCAAAATATCAAGGACTGTCAATGTTATTGGAAAATAGTCAAATTGAACTTGCAGAAGATTTCAAATCTATAATCCCTAAAAGTTCATTTATAAGCAAGCCATCAAGAGGTTGTTGCAATATATGTGGAAAAGATAAATTCGAGGAACCTATTACAAAAACAATAAAGGATCAAGAATTAAATATATGCAATCATTTAGAACAATTATCTAGTTTATATAGTTTATTAGGCAATAAATTGGATATTAGCTTAGGGAAGAATATCACTGATCACATTTTTTAGTCTTTGGGCAGTATAATTATATTCCTGGACTATCAGATCACTACTTCTGTATCTAACTGTTTGAAGTAAGATATTCAGTTAACCACATTCTTGTTTTGAATGCAAATTTATAACCCAGTAATATTATTTGGGCCCAAAGGTGAGATTCTTTATACATTTTCATGAATGTATATTTGGTTCTATATTAACTAATGTTAACTCATGTCAATAAGTAACAGAAATTGATAACTTTCACTTATAACATTTTTGAATAAAATATGGTATTTTAATATATAGATAACTTAACTTTTAATAAGCAGTAGCATAATATTCAGTAACTATTTGTCTGTAAGACAATAATAAGTTTAAATTAATATTAGTTAATAATCTTGATAAGGATGAATAACAAAAAAAAAGCATCCTACATTTGAATAAAATGATGTCTCAATATAATAAAATACGTTTTTCAACAGCCTTTCGGCATATTGGACATTCAGACATCCTATCTCCACACATTTGGCAAGTTCCATGGCCACACAAAAATATCATGTTTTTGAGGCGATCCAAGCAAACAGGACACATTGTCTAAAAATAATAAAATGGATGATAAAAATCTCAATTATTATATTTTTAATATAAATAAAGTAATATTTGAATTTTTACTAAATCAATAAAGTTCAATAAATACCTGCTCTTTAATATCTTGAAGTTGTTGTTGCAACTTTTGAACATCATTTGATGTATCCCTATTTCCATTATTCATGAATCCAGAAGCACTATTGTTAACATTGATTCGATTTGCATCCTTATTTAAAACATTGCAGTTTGTGTTGTTTGTTTGTAATTTTACATTTAGATTATTTTCTTTGCCTTCTGAATCTACATTTTCATTTGAAACTTTTGAGATTAAACCATTATTTCCACAACATACATTCAATGGAACCAAAGTTTCAATTTGTGCTCGACATTTAACACATTTTTTCATCAATGTTGCGCAATTTGCACAAGCGCACATGTGATTGCAAGGTTTAAATAGTACTGTAGATTTACGATCTGAACATACCATACATTCTTCAATCTAAAAAAAAATATTAGGTACCAGCTATGGATCAACTCAATATATATATATATATATATATATATATATATATATATATAAATTAAAGCAAAATAAAAAAACAAATGCTTAAATGATTGTAAGTAATAATTATATAGTGTTTCAAACAGATATTTGGATTTCTGTTCACATTTCTCAAGTTTATATTTCAGTTGATCTTAATTTTTATGCATATTAACTAACCTTTATTCTATTTCCAACATTCTCTCTGCATATTAAACATTTCTTAATTCTTGGAGCACAAGTGTAGCAACAAGACACATGTGTACAAGGGAAGAAAATAGTGTCTCGTTTCATGTCACTGCAAACTAAACATTCATCAAGTGCATTATCTTCTGTGCACACATCTAAATTATCAGAGCCTGACAATGTAGGACCCAAATTGTCCATTGAATCATCTGATGTGCGATCCTTATATGATTTAGTAAGAGCATTACACAGATTTGGATCCAAACAAAGATCCAATGGTGTTTGTCCTATGAAAAATAAGCATTGTTATAATAGCAAGCAAAAAGCTTATAATAAGCAAATTAAATATTCAAAGAAGCTCTAAAATAATTTCAATACCTTTTTTATTTTTGATTCCAAGATCTGCTCCATTTCCTGCAAGAAAACAAGCAATTCTAGCAGAAGATTTTTTATCTGCACCTGTGGTACCTAAACCCATCAATAGCTTTCCCACATCTTGAACATCTTGCAATTGTCGTAAATGAGATAACGTATGATGACGAAGGGCTTCATGTAGTGGAGTATCACCATCTTTATCACAAATATTTAAATTTGCACCCTCTCTTACTAGTAACTAGAATGCAAATAAGCATTGACAATATACAATGTAATACAATAATTATATGCACAAAAATGAAATTATATGGAAAACAGATAATATAACTAACTAAAGTTATGAAAATGTTTAATGTAGTTTTATAACTTTACATTTAAAATAATATACTTACCCGAACAATTTGTGTGTGTTGACGTTCAACAGCTAAATGTAGAGCAGTTTGCAAATTTACATTTTGTAAATCCATATCTGCTTTGCCACACAAAACCAACTGCTCCGCAACTTCAACATGATTGTTAAGTGCAGCTAAATGCAATGCAGTATAGCCATCATCTTTTTTCTCATCCACTATCCAAGGTCTCGGAAGTTTTGTTAACAATATTTTCATAGCACTGTTGTTGTATAAATTATAAATATAAATAATAATAAATGTAACCTCTGACTTTGCCAGAGACTAATATACTAAAATATGAATTTGAAAGTTACCTTAAGTTTCCTCTAAGTGCTGCATGATGTAGTGCATTGAAACCGTTGTTATTTGTTAATGTAATATCGGCATTATGATCTAGCAGTAAAGTCAACATATCATTTCTTTTCTTAGTTATAGCATCATGTAATGGGGTATCCCCTTCAGAATCCTGTTTTAGAATCGAAAACAGCATAAATATGGTAAGCTTTTGATAATAATATCATATCATATTAAAAATCAAATGTTAGATATCCAATTTGAATGATAATTTATACCTGTAAACTCGGATGGCAAGCTAATTCTAACAATGTTCTAACAACTCCAACATGACCTTTATTTACAGCTAAATGCAGAGCAGTTTGTCTCCTTTTATTCCTAGCATTTAGATCTGCACCTGAAGCTGCTAATAACTCCATCACTCCTATTAAATTATTCATCAGAAAAAAAATATTAAAAAATAATATAACAGTTGCAATATTTATTAAAAACTTTAATAAATTAATCATTAAATTAATTAATAAATTAATTAATATCGAAAGTTAAATTAATAGTGACATTTGAAGATAATGGGTAATTAATATTATTAAATCGATAAAGTCTACTTGATTAAGAGGTACCTGGTTCATCGCCAAAGGCAGCAAAATGAACTGCTCTATCTCCATCTTTATCCTCCATTTCTACATCAGCTTTATAGTGTAATAGAACTTTTATGACCTCCAAATAACCATGCTGACTAGCGGCCTTGAATGATTTATATATATATATATATATATATATATATATATATATATTACCAAGTTCACAAAATATATTGATAGTTTGTGATCAAAATTATATATGTTTTTGGTTCAAATATCTAATAATTTAAATTATTTATTACATTATTTCAAGTTATTTACTTGCAAAGCTGTGTGTCCAGCAAAAACTCCATTAATATCAACTCCTCCACCGCCTGTATGTGCCTGACTTTGTTTCAGAATTTCTTCACATTTAACTGCATCACCATTTGCAGCAGTCTTTACAAGTTCTTCATTAATATCTCCAGATACATGTGTTTCAAATAATTTTTTTAGCAGCATTGATAATCGTTCACCTAAAAATAGTTAAAACAATTTATTTTCATTCTTATTCATCATATATTTGAAGAAATGTTTAATACCACTGGAAGTCCCAGCACCTGAACTGTCTGTTGGTGATATTTTTGTAACAGCATTTGGATTGTAAGTCCAGGAAGTTCCACAAACTTCTACTTTTAAATCATTGTCATGATATATCTGTTGTACTCTGCCAATTTTATTTAATGTCTGTAAAATGGAGAATTTTTTAAATACAATTTTATTTTAACATTACAGTTCAATTATATTAATTAAACAAATTATAATTATTATGATTAACTAATATAAAACCTAAAACTAATAAAAAATAACATAGTTTAAAAGATTCAAACTTCTAAAATATAAAGATTAACTTACTGGAGCCATAGCTTCAGCCCACTCTCCATGGCCTTTTTGAAGCAACTTTATTCTTTCTAGATCACTGCATATTTGCACTAAATCACCTACTGAGAACTGTTGAGCTTGTTCATTTGAAGCTGAATTTGCAGTTTGTATAATTACCTGAAATTAATAAATATGGTATGATTATTTAGAAACTATTAACTTTTTAATTTAATTTTATCAACCTTGGTTAATACTGCTGGATTAAATGTCCATCTATTTCCACTGGGGTAGGATACAACAATGTCATGATCTTCATCGATTCCAACTACCGTACCAGTTGTTCCCAAACATTCAAACATTCCTTCTGTCCATCCACCATGTCCCAGTTGCAGTGACTGAACAATTTCCAACTCAAGATCTATATTTACCTATTAAGCGAATATAATCTTAATCTCTTATAATATCAATTTTAAAATTAAATGCATGTGGTTATTGGTTCAATGTTCTATCACTTCAAACTGTAATGAAATATATATTTCACAGTTGATGTTTTCCAACAATGAAAAACTCTTACTTGATCACCAATCTGAAGACCATGAGGACCTGACCTTCCTGGACCCTGTTCTCCTAGTAATGGCAAATGGTCTCTGTATACAGTTAAACCTTTAGCGTCACTTGCAACCTAAATTTTTATATATTGAAAAGATTACATACAATTTTATTAAAATACTTATTTTCCAAATTATATTTAATTTTAACTTTAAAAATATATTTATAACTTTACCTTCAAATCAGCCATTCCTTCAAAACCAACTCTGTACAAATTTTTTGCACCGTTATCCCATACAACATATGCTGCAGATCTAGGACTAGCTGCAGACCAATCCTGTATTTCATTAACTTTTCCTCTTCGACCATTGCCACCATCCTGGTCTTCCCATTGCCAATCCACCTATTGGAATTATAATTAAAAATAAAAAAATCAACTAAAATTGTACAATTTGTTGTTCTTCCATATTTTGCATTCATTTACTTTGAAATAAATTGCAATTAATTCATGATGTCTATGAAAAACTGATCAAAAAATTAATTTATTATTACAAATTTGATTACTTATTATTTAATCCCTTACCCCTCTTACAACCCTTGCACCAGGATATATGCCTCTAACAGTTATTTTCTTGCTCTTTCTTCTTGGTTCAAGTAAAACTCTTTCACAGCCTGGTGTTGAAATTCTATAAAATCTAAACAAATGAAAAAATTCATAAATATAAATAAATTAATTTATAGCAATACAAACTGGATTCATTTACAATAAAATGAATAAATATTAGTACATAATCTACAATATGTTAGTTACAATAATTCAGTAATATTTATTGCTTGCCTATGTCTTAGTTGATGCTTATCCCCATGATAACATACAGAACATAAGTCATAGTTTCCACATTCGGCACATTTCCAACGAATACCTTAAATTCAAATTTAGATCAATAAACATTTTTTGTAAATATTTTAATTTTTTCAAACCTATTTGTAAATAAAAATAGAAATTATTTTAATTAATTCAATTTTGCAACTAATAGATTTGAATACCAAATATAGGTTGCTGTCTGCATGTATCACACATTGTTCCATCATGCTTCACTTTGGTTGGAGCACTGTCAAAGATTCTCAAATCAAATGCACCTGAACACCTAATAAAAAAAATAGAATAAATTTATGTACATATTATATGAAAAAAGATATTATTTTATTTTACCTATAATTAGCAGCTGTGCCATTATCCCAAACCACAACTACCTCTTCTGGAGATTCAAAATTCCTTACGGTTCCTACATGACCTTCTCCGCCATCCTTGAATAAAAATTGAATTAGACCATTCTTTAGATTTCACGTTATTTAATTGATGATTATTGTACTTATCTATATATAGCAATCAAGTAGAAGAGAAATTATATGCAAAAAACGTAAGATTTTTTTATAGAAGTCTTTGGTAAAGTAAGTAATTGTTGTTTACAGATTTCATATTATGAAATATACTTTACCATCATACAGTAATTAGAATCTTTAGTTGTTCAGTAAACATATTTTATTAATAGTAATTAGAATCTTTAGTTGTTCAGTAAACATGTTTTATTAATTCAATCATAAGATATTTTTGAGAAAAATAAGTAAGCTTATTATGTTTAAATTAAGCATAAGTAAAATTGTAATAACACTCACAATTGAGCCATGATATAAATATTTTTTGGCCCATTAAAATTATATAAATTATTCTCATACTAATTTAATAATTTTTAACACCTGTTTGCCCCATTTCCAATCTGGCCCCCTAATAACTCTAGCTCCAACACCTTCCATCATGAATCTTGTAGCTCGAATTCCTTGAGCAGGAACGACAGCGGGCGTAACATCAACTAAAGGAGCAGAACAAGCCATTTTTTTATACGAATTTGTTCAATAATTATAATTAAATTTCATAAATAAATGAAAGTATTTCAAAAGCATATTTTAATCCAATCACACTTTTGACATTTTGTTGTAATACATTCCCTTGACAATACTGCAGGCATGCCAATATACAAAATTCTAAATCTTTATTGTTGGTCTGCGCATGCGTTCTGTCAACTAAAATTCATCGTCGGTTATCTTTTCCTTTAGCATTTATTTGGTTTTAAGCTGTGCTTGCGCGAGAGGTGTCTTTATCTTTATTAATAGACACCGCTAAGATATTAATTCTTTACTTTATATAAATTACATTAAGACACGATGGCTAAGCAACTTTACAAAGTCGGTAAGCATTAAAAATTTGGTAAAATTAATAAAGTATGTAGTTTATTGAAATTTTGATCTGTGCAATGTGAAAAACATGTGCTAACGTTATTTTGGTTATACGTATAATAAAATATTTGTACGACGTATTGTATAAAATAATTACACAACGCGTTAACAGGAATTTTGTTGTAAAATTTGATATTAAAAGTTTTGGATAATACAAATCGCTTTATTTTTTCTTTGTGAATATAATTTTACCGGTGCAAATTTATCATCATTATAAAACATGCAATACATATATATAAATATATATATATATATATATATTCCATTGGTATGATATAAAACAAGCTCTTATTTCAGCTGATATGTCTCTGGCTGACTTCGGTCGCAGGGAAATCATGTTAGCTGAAAATGAAATGCCTGGCTTAATTGCTTGCCGTAAGAAGTATGGGCCACAAAAAGTCTTAAAAGGTGCTAGAATTGCTGGATGTTTACACATGACAATCCAAACTGCTGTTCTCATTGAAACTTTGGTCGAATTGGGAGCTGAGGTAAGTTGATTTAATCATTGTTTTTGCTGAGATCACTCAGTTTGAAAATGACCTCACGTTGAACATTTAAGTTTTTAAATAAATTAGTTCTGATGCATAAAACATAACATTTGTACTTAACATTTTAGTAACAAGATAACTTTATAGAAGATTTGAAAGGAAAGAATCCTTTTTATTTAGTAAAAGATTCAAAAGCCGATAATCAAGTTTAATCATTAATAATATTATTGGCGTGTTGAATACATGCATCTGTATACTCCATTTAGAACAAATTTTAAACATTCTAATCTTTCTTCTATTTATCAATAAAAGATAAATAGTATTGTTTCAGTAGTCTAATTAAATATAGACATATCCACTACTATAAAAATGTTATTTTTATCTCTAAGTCAGATGAAAAATATGTTTATTTCTATGACATTATGTAAATGATGAACTTGATGACCTCAAGTGATAACCGTTGACGTAAAAATACTCAGATTTTCTTGTGTCATTGTTATGAATATGAACTTGAACTTCTTTTATCTGTGTAAGGCAGATAACAATTTTATTTTTGGTACTTTTTTTTTGCATACAGTACGTCATATATAATGAAATATTTCAAACTGATTCTTTTTTTTCAGGTTCAATGGTCAAGTTGCAACATTTTCAGCACCCAAGATCATGCTGCAGCTGCAATTGCTGCATCAGGAGTACCAGTATATGCCTGGAAAGGTAATGGACTTAAAAAAAAAAAACATGCACAATTCAGCAACTATTGCTGAATGTTACAATTATTAGTAACTTTCTTGCACCATTATGGAGAATTCTAAAACAAGTTCCTTTTTTTTCAGGGGAAACTGAGGAGGAATTTATTTGGTGCATTGAGCAAACATTAGTATTCAAGGATGGACAGCCATTTAATATGATTTTGGATGATGGTGGTGAACTTGTGAACATAGTCCACAACAAATACCCTCAATTTGAAAGGAATCAAAGGTAAAAATATTCAAATAAAAATTTAATCTTTTACGCAACTACATTTTTACATTAAATGTAGGTGTCAGTGAAGAAACTACAACTGGTGTCCACAACCTGTATAAGATGATGAAGGATAACACTTTGACCTTGCCTTGCATAAATGTTAATGATTCTGTAACCAAGGTAATATGAATTTTCCTTAAGTTTGCTTCGTTTGTAACATTTAATCTTGCGGTACAAAATTCTAATCTTTACTATTATATTTCAGAGTAAATTTGACAATTTGTATGGTTGTCGTGAATCATTGATTGATGGAATCAAGAGAGCCACTGATGTCATGATTGCTGGTAAAGTTTGTGTTGTTGCTGGTTATGGAGATGTAGGTAAAGGCTGTGCACAAGCTTTAAGAGGATTTGGTGGAAGAGTTTTGGTTACTGAAATTGATCCGATTAATGCCCTTCAGGTAATTGATATAGAAGACTTCGAAATGGAAGTCTCTTTGAATAAAAAGAGAACAAATATAAATTTTGTGTATGTATAGGCTGCAATGGAAGGATATGAAGTGACAACAATGGAGGATGCCAGTAAAGAAGCCCAAATTTTTGTAACAACAACTGGATGTAAAGATATTATTCGTGGTGAACATTTCATGAATATGAGGGATGATTCCATTGTTTGCAATATTGGTCATTTTGATTGTGAAGTCGATGTAGCTTGGTTAAACAAAAATGCTAAATGCAAAGTCAACATTAAACCTCAAGTTGACAGGTAATATTATTAAAATGAAAAGTATATCATTTTCCTATATCCACTGCCTGTATTAATAAAAAATGTATCACTTTTATTAGGTATGAACTTTCAACTGGAGCTCATATAATATTATTGGCAGAAGGACGACTTGTCAACTTAGGATGTGCAATGGGACATCCTAGCTTTGTTATGTCAAACTCTTTCACAAATCAAGTTTTAGCTCAAATTGAATTATGGACAAAACCAGGACAATATGCAGTTGGTGTACACATGTTACCCAAAAAACTTGATGAGGAAGTAGCAGCTTTACACTTAAATCATTTAGGAGTTAAATTGACTAAACTCACTCCAAGTCAAGCAGCTTACATAAATGTGCCTGTTGATGGTCCATTCAAACCTGACCATTATCGTTACTAAATTTTATTTTAAATGTAAAATTATCATTGAATGTAAGTCTAAAATACTGCATACTAAAAAATGTAAAAAATATTTTTAAATTCATTTTTAATTTGAATAGAATAAATTTTAATAATCAATTCGTAGTCTTGTCAATATTATTCACTATTATACACATTATATTTATATTGTTCTTATGTAAAATCCCTGCATTATCTGCTAAACGAATTGCAAAATTTTTATACCATCATAAAAATTTGATGAAATGTAAATCAGATGTTTA